AACTTGGGGATCTCGGAAGGTGGTGTGGGAGAGATGCAACGGCCAACAAGGTAAAGCGAGTGAAGGTGGGAGGGATGCGCCGTGTGGCACCCAACGTGCAACACCATCCATCAAAAGCTGCAGGTGTTCCGGAATTTCTATCATTGCTCCACTAGTTAATTACTAACCTCCTTCGTCGTGCTCATCCTTCCTCCTTCCTCCTCCATACGGCTGGGTTAGAATCACTAATCGCGCAATAAACTGACCTACACCACCTATCTCCACCTTCATCCCCATCAAGTGTTTCTCCGAGAATCCGAACGCGACGATGCAGTCTCTCGACGGAATGCGAGGACTCCAGTCGGCGCAGCCATATCTACTACCGAACGCGGCCGCAGTACCACCACCACCACAGCCACAACCACAACCACAAAATGTCTCGTCACCTCCTTTAATTCGTATTGCCAGCTCGGAAAACGGAAGCTATGAATATGAGGACGGAGATCAGATGGGAGGAATTGGACGGTCACTCTCCCCAACGGCACCGCATTCCACAACTTTTCTAAGTTGTGAGGGAGAAAGAGGATCCGTAACCTCCTCCGTGCCAAAGCCGAAACGAAAGCGCTCCATGATCGCGTGCAAGAATTGCAATGAACGACGGGTGCGCTGCGATGGCGCGACAAATGGGTGGGGTTAATTCATTCAACCTGAGGAAATATTCCGGAAAAAAGCTAATGGTGTAACGTTCCAACAGTCTTCCATGCTCAAATTGTAAACATGCTGGCAAATCCGATTGTCAGTTTATCGAGTCAAAACGAGTTCGGTAGGTTGACTGTCCCTTCGATTTCTGAATATATTTTTACCCCGCAGCCCCAGCTGAAGCTATAAATCGTTTAGAGGAGCACGCGGGCGATTTGAGAGCCGAGATGGGATGGGATCCTCGACATCCCCTACTACCTCCGCGAAGCGACCTCTCACCCCATCATCAGTAATAGGCGGATCTGGTGCCCCACGACGGGCTCGGCGTCACTCCATCACTGGCACAGACGGGGAGGAATGGCGGCGTCTCCTCCAGAACTCGGCCTCCGCCAACCGCTCCACAACTGGTCCAGTGACGTATCTCGGCGAATCCTGGCATCTGTCATGGGTAGTGCAGGAGCAGACACAAAGCGACGACAAGCCGTTGCACTTGCCAACGTTAATAATGCAAGACGACCGCAATGTTTACAACCGCGTCAACAAGGAGCTGTGGGAAAAGGGCGCTTACGTCCTCCCACGATACGAAGTGCGCGACCTCTTGATATCGCAGTACTTTGAAGTTTGTCATCCCACGTACCCGATTATCTGTAAACCCACCTTCCTACATTCACTGCAAACAAACACATTCTCGCACCAGCTGGTACAGGCGGTACTCATGGCCTCCGCCACTCACTGCGACTGGGTCATTCTCCAGCGGGCCGGTTATGTTTCACGGAGAGAAGCGGTAGAAGGATTTTATAAACGCACCCGGGCACTGTGGGATGGGGACGTTGAGCCCGATAAGATTACGAACATTCAGACGATGTTTCTGATGCAATTCTGGTGGCGATCGGTGACTGATCACAAGGATCCGCTGTGGTGGTTATCGGGTGCGACACGCCTGGCGCAGTCGATGGGGCTTCATAGGTCCACGGAAAGAAGTAAGTTGAATCAACGAGACAAAAGAATCTGGAGGAGAATATGGTGGCTGTTATTTGTAGGCATGCCCTGAAGCCAGCCCAAGGTAGAAGGAGGGATAAGCTGATAAACGACCACACTAGCTTCGAGATCGTCAGGCATCTTCACACTTTGGGAAGCCGTTGATGATTTATGCAAAGGACTGCGATGTGGAGGAACTGGAATTGGCCGATCTCGACGGCGAGGTAGATAAACTGCAAGGACTGAGTCTTCTTGAACACCTCAAGCTGGCAAAATTGAGTATGTATTTCCTGCTTCGCCACCTCTTCAGCTAGTCAGTTAACTCTTTGTGAAATAACTACAGTGACCGCTGTAGTAGAATGTGAATTCTCTCCAGGTGCAGCAAGGAATATCGACGAGCGAATGGCTCTCCGGGAAAGATGCCATCAGCGACTGAGCGAATGGCAAAGGAACGTACCCGAGGAACTAGCCTACCGGCCCGAAAGCAACAACCGTTATGCAATGACTCTACAAATTGCGTTCTTTGCGCAGCTTCTTCTCCTGAACCGTCCCGCCATATACACGGATGAAACACTCCCGGAGGAAATCCGAAAGCCCTCGGAAAAGATTGCCGGGAATGCTGCAGACGCAATCACTAAGATTACTGACGATATGATGAAGATGTGGGGACCGCGGTACATGTCTCAGCACAGGTTTTGACCCCGCTCCATACCCAACCGAAAAAACCCCCCGCTAACAAACAAAACAGTATGTCCTGCCTCTTCGCAGCAATGACTGTACAAATGATTAAGCGGCGAACCACCGGTACCACGGAACAAAAGGCAGCACAAGACGCCGACGTGAAACTCCGGCAAAACATGGCACACGTGGCCCAGCTTGACAAGATCCTACCGATGGCAGGGTGGATTCATCGGCGCTACTCTCGGATTCTGGAACGAGTAGGAGACTTGGGTGAAGCGCGCAACGTTTCAATCTCACCCCCCGCAATAGAAGTCGCGAACAACAATAATATCGCTATCCCTGCTATGGTCCCGTCACAACGAACCCCCCCACCACCACCACTACCACCACCACCACAGATGTGCACAATCACCGAGGAGGAGAACAATCACAACAATAACAACAATAATAACAACCACGTGAACGGTAACTCAAAACCAGAAGACGATGAGTGGGGGCATGATTGTGAGCAGCTACTGAACATGGAACACACGCTCACTGATCCGAGTATGGCGCTGGAGCACAGTATCGGCATGAGTATGGAGGGTAGTGTGGCTGGTTTAAGTTTTCATAAGCAGAGGCATGAACAACAACCGCAATTACAGCAAAGTTCAAGAGAGGGGTACGGCCAGATATTGTTGGGGCTGGATATAGGCAATATACAGCAGGAAATATATGATTACCATTGGTTTATGGATAATGTAGAGGGAATTAGACCGGGGAATCCGTTTTGGTGGAGCCATAATGCCCTGGGGGGAAAGTAGAGGAGCTAGGTGGAATTGGTAGTTGTAGGCTAGGGGAGTAGACATTTTCTGTTGTATGATTATGTACGAAGGGGAGCTGATGGTGTTTTGCTTCAACGTTATTTTTTCTCCTTGACTGTTGGCGTATACCTATCACCTCTTTACTTGAGTTTTGCTTCACAAGATGTGCATGCTTTCATAGCAAAAGTATGTATATCTTTGATAGAGTACTATTACTGGCTGGATTGAAACATCAACTCCTCTAACATTTACGCCAAGTACTCGTTATTTCAACACTCGAGGAAAACCCCGAGAAATTTACCATACGGTTGGGAGCCCAACCAGTTAGCCTATATTGATGAGAAACGGGTATGTACCCCAGATCGCGAGAGGATTGGCGCGGGCACCAGGAAATCTTTATAGCGTAGGAAATCTTGCCGCGGGTGATTGATTACCTAGTTTGGTAAGATATTCTGGGAGCTCGGACCTTCAATAGGCGACAACGAAACAGGTCTGGAACTTTAGATGTCCCCGCGGTGGGTGAATAGAGTACATATGCACCTCACCTCTCGGTGTGTACTCTTGAAGCCCAAGCCCTACATAGGTAGTTAAAATATTGGCGTCGTTGTACCCATGTTTTTCCGGCGGACGCTCCCAAGAACCGAGGTGTCTGCTTGGATCGGTGTCCCACTGGCCAGACAGGTAAGGAGGGCTACTGTAGGTGTTATCTCAGGACAGAACCAATGCTGATGGCAAGTCGGAACAAAAAACACTCTCTTGGCAATGCATCGGCGAAAAGCTTTCCAGAGTTCAACCCGGTACCACCAATATGAGCCAAACGAAGCGGCAAGCTGGTAATATGTGGTAAGTTTAGTATCAATGAGTATATAATAAGAACTTATACCAACAGACTCATTTGCATGAAAAGTAACCAGGTACGCTACCCTATATAATTTCGAACAGCACCTGAACTGTATAACCCGAGATCATCCTCGGCCCGTCACAGAATCGAAGAAGAAAATGTAGTACATACGCTGTGCTCAATGCAGTCGTATCGTCGTGAAATCGTCCAAGCTCGTCGGAGAGGTTCGGAGGGGCATTGTTGTCGTAGCATATGTGCCTAGGATGCAGTCGGGGAAGTCCTCCACACGTTGGTGTCGTCAGAACAACTAACAGCATCGAATGCCACACCGGCATACCGCCACCACCGTTTCGCCAACTCATTGTAGTCTCATAACCAAGACCAGTAGTACGGAATATGCCGCAACGCTGATGCATGTAACCAGTGTGACGACCTGTGTTGAGCGAGTCCCAGCATTCAGCCAAGTGCTATGCCAACATGCTTCGTTGGGCCAATACTCACATTCCCACTAGTCCTGAACCTTCTGCCCTCTCCATCCTGGAAAAACTGTTTATTCCCGCTACGCCTTCGGAGAGCTGCCGCAAGGAGTATACAAAACCCAAACGCGGCAAATAGCGCACCGATTGGGTAGAATTCATGCGTAAAAATCTTGAGAACGACTAGTGCAAACGAGAACTGGCTTAGTGCGGTACGGGTATATGCACCTTCGAACGTTCGTTGCGCGGCTCGAATCTCGACAAGCTCGCTTTGCGTCAGTTCGACGGAACGCGCGCGGTGGCCGCGGAAGCGGTAGCGGATTGACGCGTTTCTCTTGGATACAGTTAGCACAGAAGTGGGCAGAAACGAGGGAGAGGTACTTCAATCATCACGACGGACGTTGTTGGGTGATCCGCAGCAGTGACGGTGGCGATTATGATGTCGTGTGGTGTTTAAATTTTCGGTTAGCCTCGGCTGGATGATTTGTTGCCCAGAATGCCAGCTACCCTGTAGGTTTTACTATTATACGAAAAACAGATTCAGCGCTAATAGCTCAGTTGGGAGAGCGTCAGACTGAAGTCCAATAATCCGGGGTAATCTGAAGGTCACCCGTTCAATCCGGGTTTGGCGCATATGTTTTGCTGTTCTTCGGCTCATACTCAAACTCGTGCACTGGAGAACTACCGATATACAATATCCTGGTGATACGTTGCATCACGAGAACTTTAGAAGGAACTGCATATTCGGGTTCCGATACGTATTTCCTGGCGAATAGGAAGACACAATATCTACAGGGTGGTCGTTTGGATAAGCTTCTGATGACAAGGGTCCACTAGAGAGAAAACACCCTGGTGGATAGTTGAACTTGATCGAACTCTATTGCGTGCAGTCGGTCCCTGTCCCGCCCCGAGAAGTGTAAATGGAGTCCTCCTCCCTTATGATGCACTATCGCCAGCAGGAGGATGAGAACAAACCACCGTCGAACTACGAAGTCAGCACCACCAACCTCCCTCCCTCTGATGATCAGACCTCCATCCTTGAGGAGGATGGGAAATCAAGTAACGAGGAGAAGGCGTTTCTGCGCCGACTGGACTGGATCTTGATGTTGTCTTCCTCCAACTGTCGCACATTACATCCAATGGTTAACAAGTGATCAGAACTTACGTCTGGACATCATATTGCATTAAACAAATCGACGCCTCCAACTACAAGACCGCCTATGTCTCCGGTACGCTTCCCACCAACCATCGGTCTTCTCCTGACACCCACAGGAATGAAGGAGGACCTAAACCTCCACGGCAACGAGCTCAACTACTTCGACGCCATCTTCCGCATCGGCTACGCAATCTCCATCATCCCCTCCTCCCTCCTCCTCTCCACCTACCGCCCCTCGGTGCTCCTCCCTTCCCTCGAGCTCGTCTGGGGCTTTATGACCGGCCTAATGGCCGTCGCATCATCTCCCACGCTAATCTACATCGCGCGCTTCATAATCGGGGTCTGTGAAGCATCCTCATACCCGGGCACAATCACAATCCTGATGAACTGGTACACCCCCGCCGAGCTGAGCACGCGGGTTTCGCTATTCTCCACCTCGTACCCCGCCGCAAGCATCTTTGTTGGTTCCCTCCAAGCCGCGCTCTGGGGCGGTCTCAACGGCACCTCCGGCATGGCCGGCTGGCGCTGGCTCTTCTTCCTCAACGGCATCATGACAGTTTTTGTCGCCGTCGCCGGATACGCTATAATCCCCGACTCCCCCAACGACTCACGTGCATGGTGGCTCAGCGCTCGCGGCCGCGAGATCTCTCAGCGGCGAATGCAGCGCGCCGGAAAATCCGTCGGATCATCCGGAGAGGTACAATCCCTCGGCGACTGGCTGCGGCTTACTGTGCGTCTTGCGTGTGAATGGAAACTATGGGCCTTCGGAGCAGCCTACGCGCTGTGGAGCTTCTCGCAGAACGCAAATGCCTGGTACCCACTGTATCTGAAGTCACTTACGCTCCCGGATGGAAGCAGGCGCTTTTCGGTGGAGCAGGTGAATCTTGTCCCGATCCCTGCATATCTCCTCTCCGGTACGGCGATGGTACTGTTTTCGGCGCTTTCGGATAGGAAGCAGCATCGAGCAAGGTATATTGCCGTTCAGTTGGTGGTACATATGGGTGCGTGCATTGCGTTGGCGAGGTGGCCGGAGACTTTTGTGAGGCAGATGGTCGCGATGAATTTGTTGTTTGTGAGCAGTGCGGCGGGGCCGGTGGTGTTGGCGTGGTTGGCAGAGGAGGTGAAGAAGGTCCCCGAGGAGAGGACGGTTATGGTGGCTGCGATGTTAACGGTGGTTTATGCGGTCGATTGCTGGGCGAATCTGTTGCTGTGGCCTGCGAAGGAGGCACCCAGGTATCGATATGGGTATGCGTTTGCGGCGGTGTTTGCTGCGGGGAGTATTTGCGTTGCAGGGTGGATTAGGTGGAGACTGGGCGGATGGAGGGGAAGGGGAATGGGTTGGGGGAGGGTTGCACGAGGGGTTAGACGAGGGTTGGCAAGACGAAGAGCGTCATGAGTTGCAAATTTGGCTTACGATACATGGTACACGACAGTTTTTTTATAGAAGCCATCAATCGGTATGGGCCTTTCATGCTTTCCATCACACTGCTGTCGGCCTCTGCATGCTATGGTACTCAGTAAGAAAGCCGGTGTACTAAGCGTGCTCATCAATGGCCGATTTGCTCCACTTTCGGCGATGATATGCAGCTGCCTTCGACCCCGTATGCAGCACAACACACCTCTACAGGAAGCAGAAAATTGTAGTCTCGGAACCCTGGTGTAAAACCACACTCCGAGACTAAAAACATTGTGTGCATGTATTTCCTATAACTACTTAGTAGTAGTGCAATGTAAATTCGTGGTCACAATTTGTGTAAAAGCCCCCAGTAATGAACCGCCACTTGTACTTGAATGCTTATAGCGAATGGAACAATGAACCGGACCCTTAAGCTTGGGGTGACTCCAGACCAAAAAGGCGTGCAAGAATCAAGATATAAGGCGGAAGTCACTCTCCAAGCGACCGAGGGTGCCAAAGACACCAAATTGTCCAAGATTTGTCTCCAAAGTGTCTCCGAGTGAGTCCAAATGCAAAAACATTCATTCCGAGTCATCACGGTACATATATAAGAAAACCTGTATCCACCCATATGCCATGCCTATCATTGCTACCAGATATATATATATTCAACTCCCTGCTTTCTTGTTTTATCCCCCGGTCTTCCTCTTCTTTTTATTTTCAGTCTGAAGTACCACCGCATATTTATAGGGCCATTGCACGGCGAATTCCTTGTTGTGGCTTGTTGCAACGTTAGGAACAACACTCTTCCGAGATTTTGTGGGGAAAGGTTGTGTATACGTATTATCGCGATTTTCGTCGATCGTCATTCATATCCAGTTCCTGCCTGTTGTTCAGAAGTATGGTACAGACGAAGTCTATTGAACTATCTACAGGGAGAATCTATGCCTTTATATACCATGAGAATCAGAAGGCTCTGCAGAGATGCCGAGTACCGAGGTTGTGGTGAACCAGCTCTTTGGAGCGACCTCATTCTAGTCCTGACAGTAACACCTGTGACCACACACCTGAGCAACAAATATCCCCTCACCCGCCCCCCTCCCCTCAGCTCTACCACCTGGTTTTCAGCGTCGTCCTGGTGCAATTGAATGATGCGAGTATTGGAGATACTCAGTGAAATTCCACGACAGGATTCGTACACCTTCGACACACCACCCAACCATCGCTTAATTTTGCCAAGCCCCTTTTTATCCAATCAGTTTGATTATTTTCAGAATTCTTAGGCTTCGGAATTCAGCTATCCTTCGCAAGATAGTCCCTAGAAGTCCCAAAAATGTCCCTCTTCGGTGCCCCAAAGGCCAGAGAAACCTCCAAAACTGCTAGTATCGGGTCCTTCGCTCAGAGACTCGAAAAGGCCATCCCCAGCACTCAAACAACAGGACTCGGATCTGCTGTTGACCTCACCAACACCGCGACTACTGACTCTTCTGCTCCGGAAATGTCACTTACCTCCTCTATGGACTACGGCTTCTTCCCCTCTGGAGTCGTTACTCAGCAAACCACTGGTTCCTCGCTCCCAGTCTCCTGGAGTCCGAGTATTCAGGAGATTGCATCTCCAACCCACAACGACGAAGTCGAACCCATGGACAGTGACCATGAGGACGATGAAGACGACACCATGATGGAGGTTGGTGCCAACGATAATTACCAGGAAGAGCATTCGTCACCACTTTCCTCGTTAAACAGTACCCCCAGAAGCAGACCCGCCGACATGTTCAACAAGCCGGGCACCAGCATTGTCAAAAGGCGATACCAAAAAGAGGTGGGAATCCCAGAGACCCTGAAAATTCAGAAGTACGACGGACCCCTACACAGTGAGGCACTTTCCGGCCAATCGGAGATGGAAACCTCAGATGAGGACGCGCAATCACCAAAAAGGCTGCACAGTGAAGGCGCAGTACGAGACCCGGAACAACAAATGCAGCACGTTTGCTGTACACCCCCCGCAAGCAAAAGACCCCATTCGTTATGGGAGAAGCCGCCAAATCAGTCGATACGCAGGAGAAACCGATGGAAGCGGTCGGAGAAAATCGAGCAAGGATCGAATCCCTGCAAACGCATTTTGACGAGTTTAGAAACACAGAGTGGCCGACTTACGCTACTGTTTTTAATGAATCATCGAGCGCCACCGCCCAGCGCCTGAATGCACTTCAGGAAACGGTGAATGTCATTGCCACGGCGTGTGCAAACTCGGAAAGCCTCGTCCAACGCATGAGGAAGCAACCAGTCGGTGAAGCCACCCTGGCGGGGATGGTTAACAGGCTGTTCGAAATGTTTTCAGAAAGAATTGCTGAGGAGGAGGAAAGGAAAGAAGCAGAGGCGGCTCAGCAGAAGAAGAAGACTGAGGGAAAGATTAAGGTAACGATTCAGGAGGACGAAGTAATGAGGGAGGTCCAATCCATCGTTATCAGTCAGACGGCGGAGGACGAACCAGAGGAAATGGACGTCCAGAGGCCACTTTTGGAGGAATCGAAACATGCGCCTGCCATCCCACCAGGGGGGACCCTTCCGGCAGGTGGTGTTGTTTCGGCGGTTCCCATCTTTCCGGTCTTACCGGTCACGGCGGTTCAGCTCCGGGGCAAGAAGGCGCCAACCCCAGTCGCAGGACCCAGCAACAACAAGGCTACTCCAGTAGCAAAAAAGACAATAGGCAAGGCAGATAAGGCCAAAGCCACAATTACGGCCCCTCCCCTCCAACCAAAGGCGATGAGAGATGTCGAAAAGGAGAAGCCAAGGAACCCAACGTATGCAGAGAAGGCGGCGATGTCAGCCAAAGGCCAAAACAAAAACGAAGGACCGAAAGACAAGGACGGATTCCAACAGGTAGTCAGGGGGAGGAAAGAGACCAAGCAAGAGGACAACAGCCTGGCCCCCATCCCCGAAAATAAAAATACGTTGGAAAACAGGAGGATCATTTTCAAGAGGAATAATGGACTCCCGGTTTCCAAAAAGAAAGATGTTGAAATAGTTTCACAACTCAACATCGCACTCACCAAGGCCGGCATCCCCTTTCATATCAGG